ATTGGCCCGGCATGGCCAGGTGGTTAAGGCACTGGACTCGCAATCTGAGGGTCGTAGGTTTGAAAACCTATCCTAACAAACATACTTCTCCTTTCAGCCGTGAGGGAGTTATAAAGTAATGGTCAATCCCACTATTTGGGTAAAAGAGTACCCCAAGAGTTGGCGGCGGGTGGTGATGACTTAACTACCTTCCCTCTAGTCTTTCCCTGCTAAATTAGGGACGGTTAGCGCAGGTAGCCCTCGTGTAGCTTTGCACAAAATTCAAAACAAACCAAATTTCTCTATTGTTAAAACAAATCAGAAAAAAAGTGCCTTTGATGAAACCTCATCTACACGTACAAATTAATTATTAATATTAATATTTGATGACAAACTGATTAAAGGTATATTGATGGGGTCAAGAACTCAATTTTCACAGGTCATTCGCTGTTTTGTGTGGGGGATAGATATTTTCTTATTGTGACCTCAGGATTTTCTATCAGTGACAGAGCGTAGGCATAAACCTCCGTTTACGAAGCTAATAGTCATTTGTTTATTTTAGTGTTTTTTATATATAATTTAGTTTTTAGATGTATACTGCTTCAAATACATTACAGTCGTGCTGTACTTCCAATTAGGATTCCTCTCTTACCCATTAATTTTATATAGGTTGTACTTATTCCTATCCAGATTGACTATAATAATGTAAACAAAACTGATGGCTGTTCATTACTGGTGATCAATAAACCATAAATTTAAAACAAGGTTGTTGTTTTTTTTTCTAACTTGCAGCACATTGCTTTCTTCGTTTGATTCTTTTGGTTTATTCTCTCTCTCTCACACACACACCTTCCGGTTTTCTTCTTCTTTTCTTTCTGTTGAAATCCTTTCCTTATTTTATCTTCTTAAACCCATTCCGAACCAGTCTATTTGTTTCTGACCTTGCACGTATTTCCTGTATATTGTAGCATAACCTTTCATAACCATAGGGTATCCATACTGCTCACTCAAATAATTTTCTAATGACTAAGAGTATTAAAATGCTTTATTCCTTAGGGACTGAATAAAGGCCTACCGATTTCTCACCTCTCTCATCTTCAACCGATGCTCCTTACACCTAACTTCATAACAATGATTCAATGAATATTAATCATTACAGATTTTAGTTTTCTTGAGTAATTATTGATAAATTTATGTATATCTTATCACAATTTCTATCTTGAATTGCTTCATTAGGATATTAGTTACGTTTTAGTTCTCATTTATATAAAACGAACTTACTTTTGTTAGGTTCATGTTGATAATATTTTTAACCCACTGACTATGGCTGCTCTAAAAGCACGTGGAATTTTTGCAAGCCGTATACCGTATGCTATACACTAGCATTCAACTGCCGGAGGCGGATCGTAAGCTATACGGAGAATTGGCAGTCAATGGGTTAGTTAAGCCTTATGGGCATATATTAAACATTTTGAGTTGGTACCACTTTGAAAACATACATTCGTAATAGAATATGGTTTAATAAAGCCGTATATACATATAATAAACATTTTGAGTAGGTACCACTTTGAAAACATTCATTCGTTATAGAATATGGGTTAATAAAGCCGTATGGGCATATAATAAACATTTTGAGTAGGTACCACTTTGAAAACATACATTCGTAATAGAATATGGTTAATAAAGCCGTATATACATATAATAAACATTTTGAGTAGGTACCACTTTGAAAACATACAATCGTTATAGAATATGGGTTAATAAAGCCGTATATACATATAATAAACATTTTGAATAGGTACCAGTTTCAAAACATACATTCGTTATAGAGTAAAATTGTAGAGATGTTTAACGAATAATTATGATCAGAGCTCAAATTCTACATCAGTAATACACTTAATGTTCTATTAATCGTTTTTTGTAGGACCTAATGCCTTAGGTATACAGCTGGCAGCTTTGTCTGCCTTTTATATATTAGCAAGAATCTAGGAGAAACATCAACACCAGTATGTTTGCATACTAATCCACTCTGGAATAAAGATATATAACTTATCTATGTTTCCTATCGAAAGTCGTAAATACGGCTGTATAAGAAGTGCGCTCGAGCACTGTGTCAGAACAACATGCAACGGCTTTGTATTGAAGTTGTTATTCTGCTAATAGTTATAAATGAACGATAAATATATATATATATATCCCTTCCGTTTAGAAATTATGCAGGATGTTTGATCGGATAACAACTATTAAAAACTAAACTTTTTATTTGGTGTTATTTTGTTCTTATATTTTCTTTATCTGATTCCACTTTATCCACAGTATAATAGCGAGAATTATATATCGTGGGCTTATAACGACTCTACCTCTTGCGAAACTCTTTTATCTGGATTAGTTTTATAAATAAGGAATACCACTCTACCCAATTTTAACGTAAGGACTTGAGACCGTTTAATTTCTACACAATAGAGGTTGTATGGGTTGGTTGTTTTGAATTTCGCGCAAAGCTACACGAGGGCTATCTGCGCTAGCCGCCCCTAATTTAGCAGTGTAAGACTAGAGCTAGTCATAACCACCCACCGCCAAC